CTCCAGCCACACTACACCACCCATCTGACAGTACTGGTTCTACAGGAACATGTCTCTGTTGTTCAGACAGAACAGACTCACATAGGCACACCCCCACCAGAACCTGTGTTCAGTTAATTTCTGCCTGCACACACCAGGTTCCTACAAAGAAGGGTCTCTTAATGGCTTACTGTGACACTTGGTTAACAGAGAGAAACTTGCCAGTTTGGGTGAACACAAACAGCAGCTTTTCATACTTAATTATTTAAACCTTCAGCACTTCGTTATTCTGAGAGTAATTTTTTCAGTCATAGTTCTATTTTATGTTTATCTAGCTCTTAAGAGCTTCCCTCGATTTAAATAATATCAAGCAGATAAACATGGGTTAGTCTTCACAGCAGTAAAAAAAAAAGATTTAGCCAACAATATGCAATTCTAATTCATCTAAATGTAATAGCACAGAATGCAAAATGTGCACTTTGGAACAATGAAATAAAGTCATGCTTTCTCAATGATAGCTGAAGAATATATCTGTCAGCATTTATGACTTCCATTACCAATTCCTATTTTTCTTTCTCACTACCTGTCCTTTGAACATTTGGAACAAAATTGAACATTTTCTCTGAAAAACAAATTATCATCCATGTAGCAATTTTACTACCTACTGATAGGAACAGACATACCTGAACTCCTCCAAATCCATTAGGAGCTAAATAGCGTTCACACTCCAGGGCAATATCCTCCCAGCGCCATTCAAAGAGATGCACAATAGATGTCCTCTTAGAGAGGGTGTGGGGGTTGTACTGCCCCCAGCAAAACCCTACAATTAACAGAAGAAAATAGATACCCATCCTGTGCTCGGTGATCAGCTGTGCTCTTCCTACTACCTATTTATGTTCCTGTAAGAGGGTAAAGTACACATTAGAAAATACACATTTAAAAGTAAATGCCCACCTCTGGCACTATATTTAACTTGATTGTCATTCTGTATGAGAACTGGATTCTATCTATGCTATATCAACCTCCCATTCTTACAGTAACTTTGTTTTCCTGAAGTTACAACTAAGATATTGATAGGCTGTCCCCCGTAAGTTGTATTTTTATTAGTATAAAGCCAGAAACGACCCCAAAAGGCAAAAGAGTTGTTATATAAACTAAAATGGATATTTTGTTTCTCATTTTAATCCCTAATATTTTACATTCCTATTTATCCTTGAGAGGCATCTTTTTTTCAAAATGGCGTTACTATGACTTGCACATATTTAGACAAGACCTTGGAGAAGCAGAATATTTCTTATTGTGAGTTGTCACAAACCCCCACATATTTTGGAGGTCTAACATGGGTGTCTGTCATTCATGATATTCATGACACCTGCCATCCAAACAACTACCCTAACCTTGGAAGATCTCTCAGACACAGAAATTATTATAGCAACTCAAAACCAGAAATGCTCATGTCTAATCTCTGTACACTTGTGCAATTTCTGTGGAGATACTGTCCTCCCAAAGGACACGAGGCAATGGCAGACATTAGAAGTGCTGTGAAGCTCCATAATCAAGAAATCTTCTCAGGGCCAAGGCACAGAGTTCTGCATACGAAAGAGCTTTCCAGAGGAGGAAAATCAGCTGCATTACCTTCTGATGAGCTAGGCTAGGAACTCTATTTCCCAATTCATATCCTATTTGTATTTACCTGTGAACAAACACAGAAGACAAGCTTTATATTTAAATTGCCTCTCCTTTTTCTCACCTAAAGAGATACAGTCTGTAACAAATCAGAAGTTAAACAACTATCAAGGTTTGCATTACTCTATTTAGGATCTTGTTTCACACTCTTCATGTTTAGAAGTTGATTGTTACTTTCCTTTTAGGAGCTGTTTATTATAAAAAGCTACCTTAACACAGAAACAACACAGGGCAAAGAGGGAATAGGGAGATTCCTCGGTGTTGTTATAGGGAACACCAAACACTTCAGGGAAGGTTTAAACATGAACACAAGGGCCTTCAAGGTTTGCTACATGAAGGAAATCAGTGCCTTTCCTAATTTAATACACATTTGCGAATGCACTGCTGAAAACTCCAACCTGCTATGATACAGATACCCAGGCCAAAGTTTATATCAAATCTTCCACGACTTCCACAAAATGATCCTCATTTTTGTTTCAAGGAAATGATAATTCATATCCATCAGCAGTAGAGCTGCACTCTTTGGAGCAAATTCAAGCACAAAATACACCAGTTTATATATAGTACAGAATCTGCTTTCCAGAGCCTGTTGCTATCAGTTGTCACTATTCTTCACAAGCAGACAGAGTTATTTAGAATCAATAGTTTGGTATATTTAGCTTGTTTTTCTTCTTGTGAACAAAATCATTTTAATGAAATTATTTACTTGTAGATCTTTGGTAAAGTACACAGATAAATTTCAGCCACTAGCAGTTGTTGTGTGCATCCATTTTCATGAAAAAATGCTTCTTTGCCCTGATAGGAAGAACATACATTAACAGAAAACGAGCTAAGAAGGTTTGATTTTCTCTGATGAGAGAAGCCATTTATCAGACTGGCAAATTTTACTTAGAGCAGTAAGTACATAAAGCAGTAAATTACACAAAGCAGTGAGACTAATGTACTTTGACCCAACCAGCTCCAAGGCCTAACACTTGAAGACCCAATGTTGTTTTTCATTTCTTTGAAATAGATACATGGTTGTTCTAACTTCAGTACAAGTAATGATAAGAGAATGAGGATGTTGAAATCCCCACCACATTCTGATGGCTCTGGCTTCACAACGCTTTTGAAACTTAAAAACTAATAGGCCTGTATTCACCTACGGAAGAGAGCACAGCTGACTGGACTTCAGAGAACGTGCGAGAAAACTGTCTCTGAAGAGCACTATTGCTGTCGTGGACAGCATGAGATCTCAGGTCACCTTGTCTTCTGGGTTAGTCTGCGCTGTGAAGCTCAGCTGCAATCTCCAACACACCAGCAGCAGCATTTACATTTGCGAGAGGTCTGACGCAGGCCTGCTGAAGCTGTTACAGGACAGCAAAGCAGTGTCCCTGTCACTTCGAGTGGCTCCCCACCACCAGCTCGGTGTTTCGCACAGGCGAACCAAACCCCGCTTCGGCCGCTCCTCCAGGGCCCGGCAGGGGCAGCGCCGCCGGTCGCGAGTGCGCCGGGCCGGGCCCCCTTGCTCCCCGAGCTCCCCCGGCCGCGCACACCCCGAGAGGAGCGGCGGAGCCCCGGGACCCCGTACGTACGTGCTGGGCCGGCCCCACTCCCGCACCCGCCGCCCGCCCGCAGCCCGAAGCCCGCAGCACCGCCCCTTCCGCCGGGACCGAGCCGGGCACCGCACAACTGCGCCAGAGCCCCGGGGAAGAGCCGAGCTCGCGTCTGTATACCCGTCTCTGCTGGGGATCGCTATTTGGGATTTCGTTTGTTTGCTTTTCTTTCCCCTGGAATGCTAGTTTTGTTGGCCACTGGTTTCCTAAAGGAGCTTGCCTTGCTACTGTTCCTGTTGTAGGCCAAACACTGCAGCTCCTACCCGAACTAGCAGCTCCTGGCAGAAGGTCCTTACATGTTATATATAGACGACCAAATACAGCTGTTTACTTTAGTTGTGGTTTTGTCCATTCTCAGAGAAAAGAAACATTTTTCTATGACTAACTCCATTAGTTACTTTGTATGTCAAAGCCACTCTAGCAACACTAAAGTAGAAAATATCTAAAAGTTTTATATTACACACGATGATGTCGATTCAATGTAAGATTATAGTCTGGAACATATTCCTGAGATTTGGAAAAGGAAGGCTCTAGGGATATACAGTTATTGCATGCCTTAAAAAAGTATTTTTGTCCTTGAGCACAGCACCACCTTGCTGTTACCCTACTTCACTGCTTTGAAAACTCACTTGCTGGCCTTTTATGCACTATTTTAATAACTTGGTCCTGTACTTGTAGCTCAACACGGGTGTCAGGACACACTATCATAGAACCATAGAAACAAAGCCCCAAATACAAACCGTCAGCAGAAATAGGTATACAAAAACCCAGTTGACTTAAAGGAATGAAAGTTTTTCCTCCTGACTTCCAAAAAAATATTCTCTCAACAAGACTGCAAAAGTTTCCTTGATAGTTTATGAGTGTAAGATGGTGGACATCATGTTTTATTTGTATTTTACTTTAATAATTAAAACCCCACCAAAAATACAGCTTAGCTTTATTCATAATGGCATGGCCACAGAACCCACAAAAAAAAAATTAAGCTACTTTTTTCTCACTTCTAAGCATCATAAATCCTTCAGCCACTCTCATAAAACTTCTCTCAGTATATTTTTCCTGGTCTACAAGTCCAAAAACAAGTAAGATAAACTAACAAACAACTACACAGTCCACATGGGAATGCAACAAATAAGCTAAAAAAGAATTCCAGTAAAAGCATTTTATAGTAATATGATAAGCCAATTCATATGGAAAGAACCAGCAAAGATACACTTACTTTGGTCCAGACATCCTAACTAGTGATTTGGACTGCCTGCAGCTGGAATGATGACAAAATAAATCTTTTACATGAGCCAGTTACTAGACCATCAACCATGACTTAGTATTTTATGGAATAACTTTAAGTCCACTAGACTGGACTCCCTATTGCCAAGTAAACATCATTAAAATGTTTCCCACATGCTTTGAGACAGTTACAGTAATCTGCCAAATATGTAAGAAATCCTACTATGTGACCTCCACAGCATTTATTGTTACTAATCACAGTTCAACAGGGCATTTACACAGGTTTAACACTGCTTTAACTGCTACTGTTGTTTTAATGACTTCAGTCTCACTACTGACATTTTTCAAGATGCAGGTGAACAGTGGAAGTTAATTACTGAGTAAAACAGTGCCTAATTTCACAGTACAAATTCATGTCGGTGCACTAGTCCTCCTGTTGGTTCCAAGACAGGAAAAAGATCCGTCCCAACTCAAAAACCCCACAATAAAAGCCAAAATGAAGAGAGAAAGGCAAAACAAAGAGAAAGGAAATAATTTATTAGATTTCAAAAGCAAACTAACATACATTTATCATATAAGTCTTGTGACACTTTAAAGAGGTGGAATCTTTAAGACGAGAAAATGTATAGTCTGCCAATTTATAGTCTGCCTTAAATACTTTAGAAACGCTACTACGCACAGTTCAAGAGTCCTGACGATTACACTGCTTCTTCCCCCAGCTTGATAATACTTGAAAGAGATGGAACACAAAAGGGACCTGGAACATCACAAAGGCATGTTAAAAGTAAGAACAACCAGAAAACAGCACTGTTATACTTTGTTTTGACAACTAAACTGAAAGATGTTAAAGTATTTTAAGAAGTGCTTAATGTCTGAAAAAAATATGACTTAATAGATGCAGGCTGTATTAATTTTAAATTACAGAAAGTTAAATAGTAATGTAGTATGAAACCCACAAGAAAATTAAGTCACTGGCAACAACACTACCTCAGTGCAGAGAACAATCTAAAAAAAAAAAGACACCAACAAAAAGGTAGCAGTGATTAATAGTTGAGTATTAGTTCAAATACTTCATTGCAAGTTATTATTAATTTTTTCTTTACTCAAAAAAGACATAGTAAGGAATGTATAAACTGAATCAACTACAGATTGTTTCTCATATACCAGGACAACAGTAATCATCAAATGATCTAAATACCTGTCAACCCCTTAATATTAGGAATTGCTCTGCAACATATTTTAGCCAACATATTAATATAATAATATTTATTTAAAGAAAAACAAAGTGACACCCTCAGTGTGAGCTCAGCACAGCTCCACATACATCAGCTTGTTTGAGCTAGAACTGTTTCACTAAGGAATGGGACCACAAATTAGTAAGGTATATGACCTTTGAGGAAAAAGGTGGAGGCCACCTTTTAAGACTAAGAACCTTTAATGTGTCTATTCACACCACACAGAAAACTCATTGATTTCTTTTTTCCCCCTGAAAAAGCATCTTTTGCTTTTCAAAATTACCAGATTAGCTCAAGCTTTAAACATGTAAACTCCTCCCCACACCTACTCTATATGAAAACTTAGATGTAGTTGAGTGCTACGGGAAACATTGCACAAAAAAAGGATACAACAAGAAAGGATACACTCTGCATGACAGTATTACTGCAGTATTTACGCAGGAATGTTTCTAAAGAAGAACAGCAGAATGTGGTTTAATTTTACTTGATTCTCAGTATTGCAGACACATAACTTTATGCTACCTATCAAAAGCAAATATGCTTGTTTGATAAAATACAGTTCTGACACCTTATGAGACTTAATGAGGGCTGATGGATCCACCAACACTAAACTCCATATTCAAAAGTAAATACATTTTTTTGTAACTGGAACTACTAGGATACCACCAGATTTTTCTGTTTCATAATTCTCCTTCAAGTCTTTGCCATCTCACAGACTCACTTTTTTTTTTCCCCATCAGGTCCAAAACCCAATCACATTTCCATTTAATGCTGGCTTTCAAGTCACTTCTTCCTAAGAAGAAGCTGGAGAAGTCTCAGCATCAGTTTCTTCTACATAACCTTTCTCCCAAAAAGTTGTATTTTAGCTACAGGAAAAATAGTCACCCCAAATACTAACTGAACTTTTTGCCAGTCAATCAAGAAAGATATTTCAGCCAGCGAGGACTTACATAGTATTTTTATAAACCATAGGTATTATCTTCTCCACAAAGGATAAAATCTCTATAGAGGAAATTTTAAAAACCCCAAACAAACAAACAAAAAAATCCATGAAACACAAAACCAGACTCAGATTTCTATAATGGAATTTTGCATCATAAATCAGCATCCACCCAAATGTTCCAGTAGGAAAAGGAAAACATAGTCATGCAAAAATGCTCAGTCTTCATCTATCAGGCTTTCCAATAGCTAAAATGTTTCAAGTTTCTTTTTTGAATATCAAGACACTTAGTAATCTTCTTATTAGATGCTAGATAAAATATAAATACAAGTTTTTGCTAACAAAGCAGGAGTAGGAAACAAGACTGAAACTGTCTCATCAACACTTGTTCCTAATAAGATACTTTAGCCACGGCTCGCTTCTCTCTTTTCAATGACCAATACAGAAGAATGCCTGTAAAAAAAATTACTTTTAATTTTACAAAATATAGATTTTGCAAACCACAATCAGTTGTACGAAATAGGAACTTCTAAGACCAAGTAGTATCTCAGATATGAGGGAAACAAGTTCAAACATAATCTGATTAAGAAATCCTTAGGACAATGGATACAACAAGGAACATACAATTAACATAACTGTTGTAAATAGAAATACTACCCTCACAATAACCATTCTGTGGGGTCTCCAACCAATTTGTAAAAATCAAAACCAACTGTTCACATCCTTTATTTCAAACTTCACGTTTTCTTCAAAGTAACAAGGATCAAACCTCCAGATTAAAAACACATCATGGATTAAGTAGAATACTTCATAAGCACTCAGCCTAAGATTTGAGTTCATTTTGTCTTAAGTGGTGGCATACCCAGAGCAATCCCTAACTGTAACCAGTGATTAAGTTCAATGCCCTTTAAATTTGAACTCGTTGATCTATCAGAGGGTGCAGCTTGAGAACTGAGTGCTTCTTATTCTTGCATCAGTTACTTCACATAAGAATTTGAGAGTTCACTATGCAAATGTTTTCAGGCCATGAAACCCATCACAGTTAAATTAGAGCTCATTTCGCTTGAGTTAAAAGGAAATAGAGTAAGCAGTAGTGAAGTAAAGCTACATCATAAGAAATAATAGCAATTACTTTCTGCTATAAGTTACTTTCCCAACATGTTATGATGGGATAATAATGCCAAAAATCAGGACCTACGCATTCCACAAAGGAAGTCTTGATTAATGCAGCATTAAGCAGCATGTTCTGACAGAAAATCCTTCACTAATTCAGATAAGTTTAAAGGATGCTGCAACAGCACTAAGATCTCATCTTCCAAAGTTAGCAAAGCCAAAGGTCCTTTACAGCTAGCAGAAGTTCATTGCTGGAACCAGTTCTTCAGCATCACTTTACTCCTTCCCTTCCATCCCTACCAATGTAAAGAGGCAACTCTTTTCAATACCAAAACCCTGGAAGATTACTAAAAGGTAAGTGGTCCAATTCCACATAATTATTCTCCTTAGCTCCCCAGATTAAGGATTAGAGAAACTGACAGGTACCCTATGAGATCAGGAGCAGTGAAATGTCAGTCTCCGAATTGTTAAACAGAGGAAGAAGCAACGTTTTAAACTTACTATATACCTTGCATTCTGTTTTCCTCATATAAGCACATATTTAAGAAAAGAAAATTGTATGGAATGTTTCCCAGTATTCCTAAATAAGCCATTAAAGAGATATTACATAAAAACAAACAAACGCACACGCTAACAAAAAAAATCCAAGCCTAATTATTTATTTTTATTTTCAGGCAGAGAGTCCATACCTTGTGCAGTGTTCTACTTTTTCCTTTTCCCTTCATTGGCATCCTGTTTTGGTCTAGCTGAACGAGCAAATTGCTGAGATTCTGTTAAGGACTACAAGTGTCCGTGATACGTAGAAGCCAATCAAGAAGAAAAAAAAGATTACTTCTGCAAATCACAGTCTAGAAAGTGATCTTTACCTGTGAATCAATTCTACTACAGTATAAAGTTACACAGTACTAAAGTTATTAAGAGAGACTGTCCAAGAGTTTGCAATACTAAGTAAATAAGGAGAACTAACTGGAAATAGGTTTGGTGCAGAGTAACTACAGAGGGATAAATGCTTGATATCTACAATCTTCCATCCCAGCATGTTAATTCTGTAACTTTGATGTCTCAGAATTTAGGAGGAAAAAAGGTAAAAGGAACAGAGGTTGGGATAAATGTGAGCACAAAGAAAATGAAACAAACTATGAAACATTCAAGTGAAAAATAAGGAAAGATTTACAGACAAAAAACAGTGCCATGCAACTAAAAAGTGACAGTTCCAGCTGGAGACCCAGTGTAAACAGAGACAACTGACCCCAATAGGAACACTTCTTATGTTCTTAATTCTGCAAACATAGGCCCAACCAAGTCAAAAAGCTTGTATTTAATTTAAATACAGAGGTCATACAAGCTAAATTATTTTTTGTATTGTCTTTGCAGGATCGGAGGTAAGACCAGAGAATCTTATTGTCTTATATTATCACCTTTACTCTCCTATTTTAGAAGAGGTGCCTCTATTTTTTTTCAGCTACCATAAAACTAACAATAGTACACTGTGTTATGCTGACTGGTTTTCTGTTTTTCCTCTTTTGTAGAACACTATGACAGCAAAACAAGAGATTGATGGGCAGATTACAAAGAATATAACGTAAATGTTTGAAGAAAAAGATACAACCACCATGGGTTTTTCAAATAAGACATATCCATTTGCTTCTTTTAATGCTTTAGCAGCTGCTTTTTCATTAGGAAGTCCAATGAAAGCCTGTCCCTTCATACGGCCTTCTTTCATCAAACGTATATCAAACCTAGAGGCAAAATGGAGAATTGGGAATTACTCAGGTTTCACAAAACTTTCATATTTCACAGTAAAAATGTGATTCTCATGCATCAAATTGGAGAAATAGCAGAAACAGGAGCAAAGCCTACAAGTAGGAATGATGTCCTTGGAGACCATTTTGCCTGGGGGAACCATTTACTAAAAAGTAACATCGGACTGCAGGATGGCAAATTGGTGTGCAGTACTACTAAATAGGACATGCAAAATGACCAGATACACACAATCATCTACACTGTTTATAAAACAATTCTATTTCTGTACTTGAGATAAATGAAGATTTTCAGATGAAACACATTTTTTCCTTATGTAGAAACATAAAAAACGATGACTAGTTCTAAAATCACAATTTTCAACAGTATCGTAGAAGATAACATAAGAAACTTAAATCTAACCAAGTACCAAATGAACTCACATATTTCGTTCCACTTCTGACTGGAAGTCAACATATCTTCCAAAAATGAACTTGAGATCCTGAAATTAAAGTGTAGGTATAAGAGAAAAGCCAAGAAAAAGCCCTTTTGGATAAATATTTGATTTGCTTGTTTACCTACCTTTTCTTGGACTTGTTTAGCTAAATTCTTCACATATATCCTGCAATTTGGATCACCTGGTTCATAGTTTTTGAAAACAGAAAATTTTTCCATTTCTTAAAGAAGAGAAAAAATAGAGAATGTTTTAGTTCGTTTACTTCGCATATTTGCTCAGTACATAAAATAACTTATCAACTAAGAAAGGAATTACTTATTTAAACTATTTGTTTCAACAAATCAAAAAGGTATTACTAGATAATACATTCTCAGTTATACCTTCTCTAGAAAGTCTGTTTTTTTCTAGATCCTTTCTAGAAATAAATTCTGATGGTATTTCATCATCCTCCTCTTCAGTTTCCATTTTATCATTTGAGCTAGGAGCTGGGAAAATCCTTCCAAAGCCTGTATTATTGATTTCTTCTGTGGTTGCAGAAAGATCTGAAATTTCAACACATTATTTAAGCAGTTTGTATGTTTATTCACAAGAGGATCAAGAGCAAGCAAAAGAAGTATACTCCTTTCAGTAATATTTTAATATAGTAGACTTTGTAAAGCAATTTGAACACATCCTTTAGAAAATTAGTCTTAATCCCTGGTTTGACAAAAGCATCTGCTCTATATGGTCCTATAAAACCCAATGTACTACAAACAAAAGCCATGGCACATGCTAGTTAGCATAAAACAAGCCTTCCTGCTCAAGCTTGTATCCCTTTCTATGGTTTATCTAATTTTGATTTAAAAAAACTGAATATTACTATAAAGTACTAAGAAACACAAACTGACCATAACCCTATAAAAAACCATCACATCTCATTGCTATTATCACCCAGCACTATTATAGCAGATAATCAGTGCACCACAGAGAAGGACTTGGCAATCACTTGGATGCTGCTCTCTAAGAGCTGGAAAAGGAAAATCTGAAATTAGCCTGATATATTCATTTACACTATAAAATACTGAGAATGCATTTGTAACATTTGCTAAAAACATCTTAACATTTAAAAGGCAGTGCAATTCACCATAAACCTACAGAGCACATAGGAGAGAAAGAGACCTTTAAAATCCTCTGTATCCTTTACAAAGCTTGTAACATGGGAAAAACAGCAAATGCAAACATGACACAACTTGGTGTTGAAAGCTCCAGTACAAAAGAAGAAAAGAATTTCCTGGCCTAAATTTCAGCACCTTTCTACACATTGAACCCCGATGATTTTAGTATTAAATACATTGGAAGTACAAAGTCTTACCATTTTTTTCTTCTTTTTCTGAGTTTATCTGAAGAACAGCTGGGATGTCAGTACTAATATGAAACTCTATTTTTTTATGACCTACATGATGTGGCTGCTCAAAGACATCTGAAGGTGACAGTGTAGGGTGCAAATTACTGTTTAAAACAACAACATGTTAATTAAAGGTTCAGACACTGATGAATGCATATTCAAATACAAGATTTCTTCCAGATGTATTTAATGCTGTTGTTTACCACGAATACATGTGTTCTCCATTTCATAAATCTCATCCAACACAGTTCAAGTTGATCAGAACACAAATACAGTAGGTATTGCTGGCAGTGGGAGCAAAATCAAGAATACATACCACATACCACATTACAAGACAAACAGGCATTTATTAAAAACTTTAGCAGTTACTTAAATATGAAAAATAACTGGCCTTGCTGCTGCTCTCACCTAGTGTAAAAAATATACCACATTTTAAAAAAATATAGCAAATCACTTGGAGGAAGCAGGTGGCTATTACGAAAAATGCATTCACAATCACTCATCACCACACAGAAATACTACACTGGTGACTACTGTGCCACAGAACTGCAGCTCCAAAAACCAAACTCATCTTAAACCAAGTCCAGTATAATAATTTTATTATAACTTTTTATTTTAAGAAGTATTTAAAAAAATAGACCCAGATTGCTTCTGTCACAGCTGTGATACAGAATTAGTTATTTTTTTTATGAAAAGGAATTTTTATTAGTTTGATAGCAAGAGAAACACAGATCTTGAACAGGCACACTTTACAGATTAAGGTAGTTGAGCAGACTTTAGTTCAAATTACAGGAAAATTTGGACTTTTTGAGCAATAAAACCAAGCATGAGGATAAGGGAAGACCATCTTCCCTTCATCTGCCAAATTCAGCTATCAGTGAAGAATGCTTGTTTTAAAAAAGCAACACTAAAGCAAACATGATGCAGAGAACACAGTTTAGTAAAAGGAGTAATCTTCTGAAAAAGTGAAAAAACCCACAGAAAAAATACAAACCTGTGGGGAGTACACACAGGAACATTCAGTAAGTCTTTAATTCTTTGCTTTTTTCTAACACCTCGTTTCTTTGTGTTTATCGGTCTTTTAGGCTGAAGGGTTGCTAATTCCATCAACTTGGTCATTCTATTTTAACAAAAATAAAAAACAAACCAAAACAAAGTGGTTTACAGTTTATTTGAAAATACTCATTATGAAAACCCTTCCCCTCTCCTTAAAGCCTTTGAAATAGAACTTTCCAGAATATGATTATAAAACTAGGTACCTTAAAAATGAAACTACACTAATAATCTATAATTGTAATGAAGTCAATGATGCCCTTCCTTCCCCAAGCATGCTCCTAATTAGGACACTGAAGCTGTAAGGAAAGCTGTGACACCCCAAGCTGAACCTGAATTTATAACACAATTTCCACTCAACAGGAGTGCCTTTTTCCAAATGCATGTCTCTTTCTGAATAAAGCATAGTGACTTTCTGATTTACTTTTCACTTTAAATAGCAAATAAAAAACTGTTTTTTTAATTTTAGTATGAGTTTAAAGATTAAACAAACCCCACTTCCAAAACTGCAAGAGCATCCTCAGCACACAACCTCCAATTATTAATATATGATTTGGGCTGAGTAGTTAATTCAGTAAAGATATGGAACAATGAAGAATTCAAAAAACAAACTAATGCTTCCTTGTAACTGCACTGTGGGGTTTTTTTGACATGAGAACAAATGATAAATTGCACACCAACAGGCCGTTTTCCTTTTCTTACTGCATTTAAAACAGCACTGTCCTTCTGTTATTAAGTTGATCTGGAGTTTCTCTAAGCACCTAGAAAGATTTTTATATACTATCTACTAGATACTATATCTATGTACTGCAAATGTTAAGAGAGATTCCACCACTTGCTGAACTAGAAGCTAGAAGAGTAAAGGCACCCACCACTTTAAGTGAGCCCAAAACCTTGCAAATGACTGCAAAACACATACCTCTCCTTTTCCTCATCATTATCACTTTCATATTCCGATTCATCCCCACTAGGTAGTTGCTCTTCGTCCTCTTCAGGCAAAGGAGGCTCTTCAGGAGGCAGAGGTGGGATTGGGGGAGGTGGCACAGGCACTGGTAAATACTCTTCATACTAATTATGGGGAAAAAGTTTAAAAAAGTATCTAAATTTTGTATGAAAATAAAAAGTGTGTACCTTCTTTTCCTTTACTTAATAAAAACAGTCAAAGCAATAAATTATAATATGACAAGAAGCATTTTCTCAAAGTATACTTATAGGGATCTAGATGCTATTTTGGTAAACCACATTACTAATGAAAAACTTTCCACAACCAAAAAGAAAATGTTGCTGCTTTCTGAAGCACAGCAGTGAATGTTTTAATTCTTTCAAGCTGAGGTAATAAGAAATATGGCAAACCCATGGTCCTGGGTTTCCACCTTGCACTCAGCTTTAAGGACTTTCCTGAGAATGTGGTCAAAACATACAGGTGGAGGCCTAACCTCCAAAGCCATCTCAGTTTCTACAGTGAGCCAACAGTTTGAAACATTCTAGTGCTACTGTCATATACGTGTATTTCTTTGTTCTAAGTACAGTCAAAAACATTTCTTTAGAAGACCAACATGCACATTGTACCCAGTGAAATGCAGCAGTATTTGCTATCCTCTAGAGATTTCTCCAGCTTTTAGAACTTAGATCTCCTACCATATTACTGACATTTTAAATTGTGAATCACTTCTACAGTACTTAAAACATATATTTAAAAAGTTACCATGGGAGGGCGAGCAGTAATCGGTCCAAAGGGTGGAGGAAGATTCATTTTATTCATTAGATGAAGTACCTGAAATTATTCAAAATAAGCAAGGTTTTCTTAAACAAATAAGTGACAACAGTTCCTTGCTAGGTATCATAGCCAGTAACTTCTGGCAGCTGAAAATCAGCAGAGTTTTAATGTTAATGAACAATGTGAAAGCCTCCACCCGAGACGCCATACTAATGGTAAATAAAAGCAACACCCTAAAAAGGCTAATCAGAAAAGCAAAGCATCTTCTCAATTGAAATTCCAAGTACTCAAGTCACATCTAATTAGGAAGAGCATATCTAGTTAAGTCTTCAGTAAGCTATCTCTGGTCAATAAAATCTTATTATCTCAACATGGTAAAAAATTAAGATTGATTAACACTGTCACAGAAGAAGTAACTTATTATTTACTATGACAAAAAAATTATTTCTGTGCATAACTGAAAGAGGAAAAATGAGATTTGATTTTTATACTCAATTTTGTTTCCTGTTTTTTACTTACCTGGACATAAAATTTCGGCACGCTTGCCAAGGCATTTGCTATATTTGCTAGAATTGCACTTGAAGGTGGTGGGTACAAATATTTGAGGCAGGAATTGATGGGAAAGGTGAGGCTGAGGAAAAAAAACAAGACACCTTAACACCACTGCCACTGGTAACACTTAATGATTACTAGAAGCTTAACTATTCATTACATCTGAAGCAACACTGAAATATTATTATTTCCCCAAGAACAGCTTTGGTCCCCTTACATTGACTTTAACACCAGGGAATAGGCCTCAGTGCATGACAGACTTACTGGGCTGGGCACAATGAAAGTATCAACCTAAGCAGAAAACCTAAGTACATAGAAACAATCAAAGCATCCAAAACCAAAAGCACAGCATAGCAGGCTGTACCAACATCATAAACTCAATACTCAGAGTGTTGAATTTACTAGCCTCCAAAAAACTTGTTCTTCATGTATGCAAAAATGCAAATGGCTGGGGGGCCGGGGGGGGGTAGGCGGGAAAGAAGCAGTGGCATCTGGAAAACCAAAAATCAGTGGTATTCTGCTGTTAACACTGGGACAACCCACCCAGCCCTCAGACTCCTCCTGAGAAAACAATGCATAGTGCTAGAAGGCTACTGTGCAATCCACAACTTCATGGCTCAAAGCACCAGTCACTACTTGACTGTGAGGATTCTAAACTTGAGGAATTGAAACTTCATCTTTAAGACAATTCCTACAGCTATGCTTGTGGAATAGTAGCATACTAGAAAACAGAACTATTGTTCAACAGTACATAACACATTTCAAAATAACCTGTAACAGAATAAAATAATTAAGACAAATAAAAAAACCACTAACCCGTGGTTGGGTGCAATTCCATTCTCTATTTTAACACAGCTTGGTTCTACCTTCTCTTCTTCTTTCACTGGTTCTTCTGAACTGAAATTTAATTTAATCTTAATTAAAAGAGGGCTAAATTTAAATGCTTCACGTAGTATACAAAATAGGTATCATCTATTAATACTAGAAATTGATTAACACAGGTATTTTTAACATCTTTATCAGTGGTATTACTACAGCCATTATCAATGCTTCAGAATTAATACATGTGGACAATTATTGTAGCCACAGTCTTCTAAAATAAGTACTCATGCAGATTTAAGTAAGCCTCCCTATATTAAAACACTCCTGACTTCAATCTACTCATAGGAAAAGAACTAAAATGATTTCATGCTGCACTCTGTTCAGAGACTGTAGAAATTCAAAGGTATTAAATTATTGCTTTGTTCATATTCTAAGTAACTTGAAACCTCTGCTACAGTTGTTTTAATTAAACACTATCACATAGCTTTTATCACTTAGTTACATATTCCAGAGGTAATGACACAGGTCTAATGTGAGGAACGCAGTCACTTATCTGTGGATCTGAACCTCCTTGTTAACACTTCTTTGTGGTTACAATTTTTCCTTTGAGTTAAAAGGACTACCAAAGTATCATGAATATGGAATTTCCTCTCCTTGACCACAATCATAACTATATTACGCACATACCTTTTACACTTCTCTGAGACAGAAGGCTGGCTAAGGGCCTGTACACTCTCTTGCTCCTTCGCAAATTCAACAACCAAGGTGTGACCTAAAAGTTTCAGCTGATGCAGCCTTGATAAAGCCTTCAAGTAATTACAGTGGAGAAAAGAAAGAAAGGGAAGAGGAAAAACATGAGAATCATTTTAAAGCATAACTGTTTCTCCTTTGATTGGTAAATTAGCCATAGGATGCAGTCCCAACTGCCTTAAGCTCAGTCTGTGCCACTATGGACACAGGCAGTCCTGCACTGTGTTTGCCTTCACAGCCCTGCTTTTAGTGCCTCTTTCTTGCTGGCAGGAAGAGACAAGGTTGCACAGCCAGAACGACGGCAGAGTTAGGTCATCTGAACACAGTGGTGGGACTGCAGCCTCAACAGTGATACTTATTACACAGACTAGTACATCTCTGTGATTTCAAGTAACCAGCCTCTTGCTCATAAACTACGAACATACTGAATTCCGCTAGTAACAGCTGGGAATTTTAAGATCAAGATTCTTAAAAGTAACAGTAAGAAGATCCAGCATTCTGCAAGTCCAGAACACAACAGGCTGCTAACAAGTGACACAAGCAACCTAATTCACCACTGTTCACCTCACACAGTCTTTGTAACTTTTTGAGTACTCCTCTGAAATGTAGCCTAAAAAAAATAGAAGCAACGCAAAAAAAACCAAAACCCAAACACCAGGGCATAAGGCGGAAGTTCTAGACATAGGTTTTTTAGCAGACTAGTATTTAAAAAGCATTATTAGCATTACCTTTCTGGCATCTAAGTCTCCCACTAATGTGGTAGTTTTCTTATCAAAGTTGGCATTCAAGGTAGCCTTGAACTGTGTACGTCACTAGGGAATTTTATGGCAAATACGTAATTATGCAGAAAACAAGAAAATTAGGTTTGCTTTAGTTTGTATATAAATGCACATACATCCTTGACAGGGCCCAGTTCAGTCTCAGCTCCTCTAAGTTTGCCATGATCTATGTGAAAGGTTGGATCAGATGACTTCCACAAGCAATTTTCAACTCATCTTTCTTAGGTATCTACTGAAGTGTTCATTTCATCAAGTCCTGCAAGCAAATCCTGAAACAGAACTCTAATACTACATTGTGCTGCTTTGTTTTTTCTAGCATTAAGTACTAGATGACGTGCAAAACATTTTAGAGCACAACTGGTAATCCAGAAAAGTGCTTTGCCAAACCATTCAATAACAAACTCAATACAAACCTTTGCAGCTGCATTTTCACTGGGAAAGGTGGCAAAAGCAGTATGTTTCTAGAAAACAAGCAAAAAAAAATTACTGTATATAATATATATACATTATACTGCATTCAAAAAGTTGAGATTGCATGTAAAATATAAGTCCACAAGAAATTTGTAAGTTCAAGCTTACATATTTGAAAGCTTCCAGACAGTAGTCACCTAACTCCCACATGGAGCAAACGTGAAGGACTAAAAAACATTTTTCTTAAGAATTTAAGATATAAACCTCCTGCAGTCAAAAATCAAGACAGGAACTCAGTTGCTTGAGGAACACAGGAAAAGCTTTTTTTCTATAAGCAAAAGCCATCCTAAACTGCAAAAAAGTACATATGGATAAAGAGGTCTAATCCTCTTTTCAAACAAGAAATTTATTTCAACACCTCACAGTAGCACATTTTCATCAAAGCAACTTCTAAAATACTATTCCTGCTACAAAAGTTGTAACTACTGTTGTGCTTTGAATGGTTTCTAACTAACATTTTCCTCTATTTTTTAGGTTTTAAAAGGATGCAAGCTTTTCAAATTAAATCAAAGCCTCACAGAATACACAGTTCATCTCAAAGTTATATTTGTTTTAACAAACTTTATTACTTCACCTTGCCACTATGTGATTTGGTACCCAAAATGATTGTAACAAAGTCAGTATTTTTGATATCCTATAAAGAAAGCACGACCCTGACAGAAGATGCAGACATCAATTATCTGTAGCTCTGCAGGAATACAAGGCTCTTTCCGAACAGCATCTGTCACCAAACAGATACGCCCGCGTTTTTTTAACTTGGAAAAAGAAAAAAATCAAGAGATTGCTACAGACACATCTGTGAAAGTGCGCCCCTACACCTGCAAGAGGCCCCTCTGCACTGCTCTTCCACAGCCCCATCGCTAAGAGCCAGTGAGGCCGAAGCCGCGGCCCGGGGCACCCTGAGCCCGCCGCTCTCCCGCCCTCCCCGCGGGGCTCCCCGCCCGGCACACCGGCTCGGCCCCGCTGCGGCCTGCCCCGGGCCCCAGCCCTCACCAGCCGGCCGTGGTCCGACAGGACGCGCACAGACACCGCCCCAAAGTGCTGCAGCAGATCCTCCTTCTCCGCCGCCGTCAGCTCGGCGGGCAGGTGCCGCACCAGCAGCGTCCGCCCCCGCCGCCGCGACACGCCGGGGTGCGGCGGGACAGCTCCCGAACACGGAACACCGCTGGGGTGCGGTGGAACAGCCCCCGGGACACCCCCTGGACCCGGGACACAACTGGAGTGCGGCGGGACAGCCCCCGGGACACCGCCCGGCCCGCCCGCCCGCAGCTCCGCACAGCCCGGCGCCGCCATCGCAGCGCGGGACCGGCGCGCGCAGGGGCAACTCGCGCGAGAGCAGAGGCGGGGCCTGAGGCCTCAAGTCTCGCGACACTGACACAGCCCTGGGAGTTGGGCGGAGCCGCGCGCGGCGGGACCGGGACCGGGATCGGGACCGGGATCGAGATCGGGACCCAGACCGGGACCGGGACCCTTCGGTTGAGACCGTGTGCCCCCTCACACACACGGCGTGCCCGAGTCACGTCCCGAAGGATGCCCCTCACACACATGGCGTGCCCGAGTCACGTCCCAAAGGATGCTCCAACGTGAGACAAAACCCTCCCGCCCCAACAGTTCAGAGCTTGTCCTCAGACAAAATTCTAAGCTGAAGAGAGTTGACGGACCAGCGAGCTACTGACACCTCACTGGGACAGTCATTAACCTGCTGCCCTGGTGTCTGGACAAGGCAGGCGGTGTGGGTGGAGCACAGCCCCAATGACAACCTGGGACGGATCCCAGGGCGAGCAGTGAGGACAGAGGCAGATCGCAGCCAGTAACCACTGCAGCCACAAGGGCTGCTCCAACCCTGCCTTGCTTCGGAGGGCAAAGGTTGTGATCTCAAAAGGGGGGGAATCCCCAACCTTGACTGATGAAGTCTCAGGTTTTAGCGCATCTAATTAGCTGTTTGCTGGCTGGCAAAAGCACCACATGCCTGTGTCACTGTTGCCACTGGCTGTGGGTCCCACAGAGCCACTCGCCCGATGCCTCTGTGCAGAGCCTGCAGGCCCTGCGCTGGGGTGCACTGAAACCACCACGGAGAAAACATGTTTGGAAGGCTGTGCAGTGTACCTGCTGAATAGGGAATGGCTGTTTCTTGCAGCTTTCAATAGAAAAAAACCAAGGCCTTCAGTCCATAAAGTCTTCAAGTCTCCTGTTTCTTGAAGAGTCACAACGGACCTGGCACCATATGTGCAGTACACCTGGAGGGTCTTAGGCTGTGCTTATTTCATGACTGAACACTGGCAATCTGGGAAAAGATCTGGCCATAGTGGGTGGTCACAGGGATCTCATTCAGTACATCAGATGACAGTCCAAGTTCATCCAAATGAGTTTGGGAAGGAGTTGGCTGAAAAACAGTCTTTAAAAAGGATCTAGGAGAAAAGCAGAAATTTAGGAGCAATTTCTTACAGGATCCATTAATGCATTTTTGTTGCTGTTATTAGGATAAGCTGGAAAATATCTATGAACTTGAAAACAGGTGGAATAATTAACATAGCGTGCAAATAGGGCAGTGTACTTTCTCTCTTGATAACACCAGCAGTACTGGTTTTTCTAAGGCTGTTAAAACTTTAAAAGTAACACTGACCAGCCTAGCCAGCTCTCTGTGTGACTTGTGGTTTGTATAAAGTCCAGAAGACTTTCTGGGATATGCTGGTCAACATGCAGTTGTAGCAGATGGGAGGATGAGGATTGCAAAAGCAATTCTGTGGTGGCTGTTCTGCAGCATCCTGTTTAAATTGGCCTGACTTTCAGTTCACTCCTGGGTAATGACTTCAGACAACTTCTTATGCAGCAGGTCTGTGAAACTTGTAGGCAAACCAAACTTCCCTGTTTCCCTTCTAGTTCTCTAGGTACATTCCAATTATTAATCTGCACATCATTTACCAGATGGGGAAATAATTATATAACTTCAAATATGTTTTCCTTTCAGAACTAAGAAACACTGTTCTCAGTTCCGCTCAGAAAAATCTGAGAAAAATATGTACTTTTTAATTACATTGAACAAGTGACAAGAACAATTTCATTTGAAATAATTCTGATATCTGATGGCTGTTCATCCCTCCTAGTACAGAATCCCCCCCAAAGAAAGAGAAAAACTCTTTTAAAGTCTCTTCACCCTGACAGACCAGGCTGCTGAAGATGGATGTCTCTAAAGCAGAGGTTTAACAAAGTATCATGCAAGTCAAGGGGATCAAATTGTGCATGTGATCTTTCTAAGATGCAGAAAGAAAAAAAAAACCTGCCCTTTCTCTCCCCCTCATGTCAACAGGCAAAATAGGTGAATAATAAGTTATTTTCTTTTTACTTTCCAAGATTAAAATTTCCAAGATTTAAATTTATAGATTCTTGAACAATAGAGTTCTTCAACAGCAGTGCATCCTGATTTTGTGTCAAAATTCATGGTTAAGTTCTTTGCTTATACAGAGAGAAATTTCAGTGCAAGTGTTTTAGTAATACTAGTGTGAGTCAGAACTACAGACTCATTCAGGTTAGAAAGGAAAGAGATCCTTTTGCAGCAATCTGTAGTCTAGTCTTCTACTCAAAGCAGGGTCAGCACTAAAATCCAACCACATCACTTAGTACACTCTCCAGCCTGGTCTCAAAAGGCCCTAAGGGTGAAGATTCTATAGCCTGCATAGACAAGCTTTTCCATTCCTTAATTAACCTCCTAGTGATTTTCTTTTCTCCCTTTTTATCCATTTGGAACTGACAATATTTATATAAATGTGTTGTAACTCCATAAAGACAAAATTTCAAATTCCAATTAAAATTTATTGAGTTGGTAAGAAATACAAGTTTGAAAAAAAAAAAAGTGAAGAAAGGCAGCTTTGCAGAACACTCCGATGTTTTGCACATCACTCATTACCCACTTGCATAAAGCTGTCTATTAGTGACATCAAATCAGCAGTGGCCAGGGGCAGATACGGTTGTCCAAAGTAATAGAAGTCCAACTCAGCCTGTCCTTTACAGTTACTTAGGAAAGCAGTAAATTAGTGCCACACTGAATGATACACATGTTTATTTAAATCTATAAAAAAATATGCAATGGTCCACCTGAAAGAGATGAGTTTTCTTTTGGATGGTGTGAGTTAGTGAATTCACAGATTTTTGAAAAGTACTTATCTGCATCATTAAGCAGTCAAAAGTGAGCATTATTATGAGAGCAGCGATGCTACTGTTTCTTGCAGAAATTAAGATACACAAAGATACTGTTATATCATCATCCTGATAAAGTGAGACCAGAAAGCTAAATGTTGAAGAAAATAAAAGCTGGAGTGTGGAATTTTTTATTTTTTTTTTTAATATGCCTCTAGGTATTTTCTCTTGCCTCCAGTATATATTCCAGTTGGCTGGACACAAGGAAGCGCTGAGTGAGGGGACAAGTAGCTGCATTAGCATGAAGATAAGCCCAAGGCTTGTTTTACCTTCTCTACATAATACTGTATATCCATGTACTTAAATGAATCTGTGAGGGCAACCTAACATGTTGGAACTCTCTTGTTTGACTAGGACCAGATAGGCCACGAGAAGCAGAGTTTTAAATGGCCCCCAAACTGGTAACACAATTCACAGAATAAATAACATTGTATAATGGGGTCACATTCTTTCATTAATGGAATTGCGTATTAGAGTTAGCACTATAGAAAGACTGTACAACTGAATTTACTGACTCTTCTGCTTTCGTATTCATCCTTTACTGACACAAGAAAAAAATCTTTCAGATTACAACAGCAGAAACTCCAAATAACCTTAATTCAAGTTTCTTCTTCCAGAAAGAAAAGTATGGACTTTCAATGCAATTTGAGAGGCTGTCAACAAAGGCTTTTTCAAAGAAAACAATCTTTTCACTAAAGGGAGGAAAAAATGCTTTCCTCAGTTATTTTTCTCAAATGATACAGCTGTTTTTCTTGGGTGGGTTTTTTTTTCTGCTTTAATGAAACACATGAAAGACTTTTGTTACTCTCTATCCATTCTGTACATTATTCAAACTATGGCCACTGGAATTCTAGTATCAGAATAAGGAAAGCATTGTCCCTGTGCACTGAAAAACCTCAGCAGCAAGTTCTAGTAATTCCTTTACTGTTTAAACAAAGTTCCCAGAGTTTGTTCCAACAGTGGGGCATTTTGCCTTTCTTTCCCTATGCGGTTGTGTTCTGATTGCTTTTCCTCCAAGCCTTTGTTTGAATAAAAAATTTTGTAACAATGCATCTGCATGTTTAAGCATGTTTTGCAGCATAGGTATAAGAAACCATTTATTGTAACAGTTTCTCTGTATTATAAAGTGCCACATTTTAACAGTGAAGTGTCAATCAAAACAAATTACTTTTCACTCAATATGTCCAGGGGAAAAGCTACATGCTGCATTTCATCATTTCCAAAGTTCTAAGGTTACATGTGCAATGCTAAGGTGACGTATTTCATACCTTAACGCAAGGGTCAACAACCTTTCAGGTGAAAGCAAAAAATACACCTCTACATAAGCTGAGTGCCTGGCTTTTTTACCCACAAGGAATGAGGTTCAAGACCAATACATTATTGTGTGTTATACTTCTGTGTAAGATATTTAGTTTCTTTTTTCCACCAAACACACTCAATACTTTATATGGAACTACAACTACATTCTAGATCATTGGATTATGATTTTTCAAACATGCTGCCTTATATTGAAAGGAAGAGCTTGCAAAATCAGCTCTACCCTACCATTCCATAAGTAACTGATATTTTATTTTCAGCAAGCTGCAATTTCCCTTCTCTGTCCCCCCTGCCCTGTGGAATGATATCTATATGTAAGAAATAATTAGAGGTGACAAAAAATAGATAGGAGGGGGAAATTTGTTTTTCATCAGAAAGAGGAATGTATAACAAGCAAATGGCTTTTAGAATTGTGGCATCCACAAGAATATAATTTTAGTTCTCCAGAGTTTCAAATTTGGCACTTGACAAAATTAATTCTTTCACTCTCATCCCATCCTTTTAATCATTATGTTTTCTGCCTTATTTCATAAGTCATTAGAAAAGACTTGGTTTGATCAAAGACTGTGTAGTATAGGACATTTATTACTTCTGATTAAGAGTTAATTCATCATATAAGATTTGGTGACATTGTTACTCTGACTCAAACATGTTAAAAGGGTTAATATTTGTATACTAAGTGTTTGGCACAAGAAACCAAAGATATTTAAAGCCATAAATAAATTTCCTTGCATTTCAATGGTATGTTGATATGTGGATTTTCTCAAAATATCAAAAATGTTTGCC